TATGTTCTTCTATTTCATATTTCCTCCTAGGGCTGTGCCTCTCTTCCTGACTTGGGGAGAATATTGCAAAAGAAGCTTCCATTAGGCATTGAAAGTAACACTCCTTACAAGGACAAGAACAACTTTCTCATATCAAGAAAAACAAAGCTCCCTCTCAAAGCATTCAGATACATTGAAAATGCAAGGTGAACTTGGCTGGGGGAAAAGTTGAGAGTAGCCAAAGCTGCTATAAGAAATAAAGGGGGTCCTAATAGATGACTTCAATGTCCCAGGGTCATGCCACCAGCGGCCATAAATAAACATAGATGCTGAAAAAGGATTTTTAAAGCCTTTCTGTAAAATGATAAATACAAATAGCTGTATAGAGTTAAGGAATATAATTTTATTTAAAAACACAAATGACGGGGCGCCTGGGTGGCTCAGTTGGTTGAGCGACTGCCTTCGGCTCAGGTCATGATCCTGGAGTCCCGGGATTGAGTCCCACATCGGGCTCCCTGCTCAGTGGGGAGTCTGCTTCTCCCTCTGACCCTCCCCCCTCTCGTGCTCTCTATCTCTATCTCATTCTCTCTCTCAAATAAATAAAATCTTTAAAAAAAGAAAAAAAAAACACACAAATGACAAGGCAAAATGAAACGTCCAAGTGTTCTGAATTTGGGGAAACTTTCCACTCTACAGAAAAACAAAACTTTTTGCTTTAAAGTATGCAAAGAAGTGAAGCTAGACTTCATCTCAGAAGTAGATCAAGTGGACATAAAGGATATTTAAGCAGCAGAAGGGAAAGAAAGGGTTATCAATGAACTATAGCTAAGATCACAGGCTCCTTACCTGTAAAGAGAAAGAATCTGTGATAAGCTATAGTACAAACCAGAATTCATTTTAAAGATAAAACCCAGAAGCTGCAGAGCCGAAGATGCAACCTCATTTCCTTTTCCCCTGCTGCCCAGCTGCTGCCAATGATTTCAATGAAACAGAATAATCACTTCTGTTAGCAAAACCTAAAGGAGTGACCCTCAGTCTTTAGGGTGCAAAAGAATCCACTGAAGAGATTGGTAAAAGTAGCTTCCTGGCCTGCACTCCCAGAAAATGCTGACCAGGCAAGACTGGGTGGGGTTTAGGAAACTGAATTTTAATAAGCATGCCATGTAATCATGGGAGAGATCATCAGAGGTTTTTATGCCAAACTACTAAGGGAGTAGTCTGCAAACTTTTGATTGAGACCCACCACTAAGGGGAGATGAAGCGAAGGCAAATGTTTGACATAAACCATACAGTCAAGTTTCAGATTCATTCCATCTATGAGTGTGGATGTTTGCATGTCCTGAACTGTGAGGTAAGATGTGTTTCGGATCATCTTAGCCAACAAATACTGAGGGGACCTGAGTTTCGCTTCCCTGTGACCCCTTCCACCACCGCCCCCTCACCCCCTCCTAAATACCAAATCATCTTGCCAGTTCTAACTCCCTTCCCCATCCACACAGCCAAAAAAGGAAGTGGGGCTGCATTGCTATGTTTGTTCCAAGTGTCATGAGGGACAACTAGTGTTTAGGGTTCAGGAGTGGATGTAGACACCTTGAAGGAAGACTTGCCCAGACCTGGAAGGGCCTCAGTCACAGCAGATGATGTGAAGTGAAAGAAAACCATATAGACCCTGACCTGAGCTTGGGACTTTCTGAAGGTCGGAAGAAAGAGAAGGAATGGCAAGGAGGACGGGGTGGAAAGTCATGGGGAAACAACGGAAAGAAGCTGAAACCCAAGAAACTGGAAGATAAGCCCACACTGTATTCTTCATGTTGCAAGATGATGTTAGTAACCCGTCATCCAGAGATGGAGCTGCTTTTGCTTTTTATTTTTTTCTCTCCCAGAATGAGGATGGATACTTGCCCGTTCCTTCACATCCTCTGGATCCAGCTTCTCATGAAGCATAGTATGAGTTTGTAGGTGCTGGCTCAGACATGACCAGATCTGCCACCTGCCCTCAAGGAGACAGATTTCACCAAGTAGCCAACAGCCATGAGAAAGACGGCAGCCGGAAAATGACACCAAGCCTGGTGTGCTATTGACTTCATCCGGCCTCTCCGCCCTGGTTTTTTGCAGCCCCTTGGGAATTCCTCCACCAGATCCATTTGGAAATGGCCACCAGGGGGGCTCAGGGAACTGAAAACCAGCCCTCATTCCACTCCTTAAGCTGTGCATCCAGCTTGGGATTATCTTCAACTTGAAGAAGGAATGTTTTTCTAATTCCCTGGCCCTTCTCCACGCCACCACCCACCAGAGTGCCTTTCCCTCATTTTTACAAAGGAAAAATAAGCTAAAAAAAAACCCCTATAAGCTAGTAGCACCCCACTGGGAGGAGAACTCAATTCCATCAACAAGTCACTGTGCTTTTTCATGGAGTCAGGCGATCCTGCAGTGTTCAAAAGTCACCCACGTGCAGGATCAAGTGACTTTTCCTCTCATGCACTTCAGCACTGGAGAATGTATTTGACAGCCAACATGTGGATGGCCTGACAGAAGCACTGAATCACTTACAAAAGGAAAAGATTCCCGGGACGTGAGCAGACACCACTCCCAGAATCCCATGTTGCCAGGCTGCACACTCCCTGGCTGCCTTTCACTTCACTAGATCTTTTTTTTGTGCCTTAGGATGCCCAGGACACCATCTACTTTTGAGACTCCTATTTTGTTTGGGACCAATTGAGAAGAAAAGAGAAGCTACATGGGAGACGCACTTATTGCCACCACTAAGGGGAGATGAAGCGAAGGCAAAAAGAAGCATCCTGTGGCTTAGGTCTTGGCCCAACTGTGTGTGTGATCCGGTGTCCTCCCAGGTCACACTCTGCCACACAGATGTTCCAACCAGTCCCCACGCTGCCACCCATTGTGCTGGCATGTGGAGGAGGCCTTTTTTTAAAAAAATAAGATCGATTTTCAGCACAGGCACTTTTTTTAAATCTCAGCTCTAACGACCTGCACACCCAATTTCTCATTATCTTTGCTAAATGCTTTCAGTGCAGGAGGGATGGACTGATGGGTCTTTGTACTGGCGGACTGTCAATAATCTCCCTTTGAGGCAAATGCCTCACTCTAGAAGGAAAAATGACTCTATTTTATACCTGCTATTTCCCTATCCTGTAGATGGGGATAATACATATCTTCTGAGAAGTGCTATTGCAAGGGCTAAAAATATAGAGTATGGCATATAATAGGAACTCAATACCTGCTGGTATCCTTTCCCTTTGGGGCTGAAGGCGGGTGGGGGGGAGGTTATCAAGCATGCCCCACTGTGCCTGGGCAGGAGAATTTTTAAGAAGAGGGGTGGGCAGTATTCTTAGACACCTGAGGGAATCGGGTGACGCTCACTTCTTCCTGGTATGGCTGAATTAGCACAGACCTGATAGCTTCTGCTATGTAACCACCAGAGGGGAGCTTACAGCCTCCTCATGGGCTTTGTCAATTAGCATCTTAGGACATTTGACAGGCCGTGATGGCTGGTGTGTTCCAAACAGATGCCTCAATTCAGGGAAACTGGAAAAACAAGCTGACTTGTGACATGGGTCTAAACCTGTGTCCCCATCCTAAAATATCAGACACTTCTTTGCTTTTCTGTAAGTCTGTAATGCCTCTGAATGCACAAGGCTCCAATTCCAGGCTTTAGTCATTCTCTCAACATGCCACCATCCCTGACATCTCTTTGCACAAGCTTCCTTCTGGGCTCAGAATGTCCTCCATCTTCCTGCAGAGTCCACACCTACTTCTAAGAAGCCTTTCCTGTCTCTTCTGTAGTGGGTGAGGGTCCACCCTCTGTCCCCCAAGGCAGCCTACTCTTGCCTCTCTCATTGTACCTACCTCACCATCTTCCCACTGTTTCCCAGCCAGTTTCCCCATTAGACTCCATGCCCCACGGGGATGCACAATACACTGAGTCAGTGAATGAATGTGCAGCATATGTGTATTAAATGAGTGGATGAGTGGTAAAGGAATCACCCCAGGATTGGAACACAAGGTTGAGAACTCAACTTCCCGTTCTAGTCTCTCTTTCACCACAACCTTTGTCAGTGGCAAAATAAATAGCTGCAAAAAGATATAAAATATCTTTTAAAGGGTGCTTAGGGAAATTGAAGACTTCAGAGGAAAAAGGGAGTGGCTGGCCTGTTACTTCCTCTCAATCCAACATTTACTTGCTTTTCTGGGTAAGACAAATAATTCATTTCTCGTTAACAGAGTATTAACTACAGAGAAGGTCTTGGTTCTCAAGAAAAGTGGGGTGAGATTATGGCCATCTATACATCTTTATGTATTAACTAAAAATAAAGCATTAGTTCTACGGAAGAAAATCAGAGCTCTGCTCTCCTTGCTCCGGGATTCTGCAAACACTGTCACTTGCATCTGCCTTGTTCAAACTCTGCCAGCAACTGAGATTCAGCTCTGTGTGGCACAGTAGGTTCTTCCATGAAGTCAGGTGAGGCAACCATCACAGGCCGAGATGGAACATACCAGGACTCGCCCTGTCCTGACCCAAGACTCTAAATTATGTCTCGAAGGGAACTTCATGTCTTCTGCGTAATGTAACCATCTGCTAAGTCTGTCATTAAAGATTAAGCATTCCTACATTCAACCTGAAACCCCTTTTCAATGAAGCTACGAGGGTATGACACTTAGGAAATCCTTCTCCCACTTCCAAAGAGGTTGGAATGACAAACCAATTCATCTAAACTCCACAGGATACCGAAGCCTCCAACTTTTGTAAGAAGGTTTTGGCCAAGACTACATTTTCAGTAAATTCATTGCTCCAAAGTGAATTGTCCCTGCTCTACAGAATAACCTCCCAAAGATCACATTTTGAGAACCGAGTCTCCGATGATGTGCCTTTTGGCTCTCTCTGGCTTCCGGCCCTGGCTGAGCCCGCGGTAGAGCGTCATTCCCATGCTCGCACCCGGGCGCTCACACTGGGCAGAATGGCTGCTAAATGGGACGAAGGAAAGGGAAGAAAGCATCCTGACCTTGTGCAGCTCCACAGGAGTTGGGGACATGATCTCCTTGATTTCTTGTTTCATTTTCCTCAGGGTGACAGACTTTCTGCCCACATCTGTGGGCAGGGTGTTGCTCCGAGTTGTTTGGCTATAATGCGGCCGCGAGCTACTCCGTTCCTGGAAGCTGGCCTGTCGCCCCAGCTGACTGCGAGGTGTTGGGGCCTCGTGATTCAAACTCATCGTGCTCCCCGACATGATTGTCGCCTGTGGCATTGACAATTTTCAGAAACAATTATGCCGCGGACTAAGAAAAGGGTTTGGTTGCTCAACACTAAGCACATTTTTCCTTCTGCCCAGTCAAAATACAGTCTCTTCAGGGCACAACCAAAGGCCGGAGAATGGACGTACTAACTGAACTATGAAAGTCTGGGAAAATGCTTTCCAAGTGACATTTATAATACACATCTCAAATCCAACTTAAGTACTTAAGCCATTGGGTTTATTTAATCAAATACCACCCCTGGCAGTTTTGAGGCAAATTGAAAAGCTATAACATTTGCTTACTGCAAACTACATTTTAAGCATTAACTTTCCACTGAGTGGGCTCTAAAGATGGGATTCATGAAGCAACTTCAATATATCTTACAGAAATGGACTAAGAACTTTTCAATGGAACCAGGCGGTCTCTATTGGCAATGCTGCCTCTAGCCCCACCTAGAGGTAACAATGGGCTAAAACAGGGCTATTGATAGGCAATAGCCAATGCTGCCCACCTACCACCGGTACTGTCTTTCCTTTGCCACGTGGCCTGTCCTAGAAGCTTGTAGAACCAGCTAGGTCTCCACACCATTTGGCGTAGGTCCACGTTTCTTAGAAATGGTCTTTGTGGGAGATAGTCAAAGGTCAAAGAGTAATCATTTATTGTGCTACTGGATTCAACTCTTTGCTCAAAAGCTGGGAAACTTGGATTGGATTTTACCAGTGAACAGGGAAGTTTGTTCAGATTCAAATATGTTCATATGTGGGACACCTGGGTGGCTCAGTTGGTTAAGTGTCTGCCTTCGGCTCAGGTCGTGATCCCCGGACCCTGGGATCGAGTCCTGCGTTGGGCTCCCTGCTCAGTGGGGAGCCTGCTTCTCCCTCTGCCGTTCCCCCTGCTTGTGCTCTCTCTCTCTCCCCCTGACAAATTAATAAAATATTAAAAAAAAATGTTCATATGCAAGGAGAAGCAAGATTAGACCCCAAATATGACTGAGTCTTGGAAGTGAAACTAAAAAACATCTGAAACCAATGTCGTGTTGCGGATGTTCATTTCTCATGGTTAGAGGATGCTAAAATTCTGAAAACATGTCTGTGAGGCAGCTCCATCCTCCTTGGTAGGACGGTTGAATGATGATGGTAAACCAGCACTGGTGAGTCTGCCTGAGGTCATGGGACCAGAAAACAAACTCCACAGGCTGTGTTGCTGGCTACGCTGTGATCTAGTGGTTTACATTCATACTCATGCTAAAAGTAGCAGAGAGTCCTTTGTTGAGTCCTTGCGTTCGCCCACTTAAGCCACACAACAACTTTGAGATGGACACTGTTATGACTCCCAGTATGTAGGTGCAGAAACTGAGGCACACAGAGGCTGACTTACCCAAGGTCACCCAAGTAGTAAATGAGCCAAGGGCACCATCTAAAATTATTGATCAAGAGGGAACACTGCAACGTGATAGAGTTTTCATTTGTTATCTCTCTAAGATTTTGTAATTCCAAGTGACTTGGTGTTCGGCTACACACACACCAGTAAAGAGATCTTTGAATTGCAGCCAAGTATTGGTGCACATGTACATGTATCTATGACTCTGTTGAAAAAGGAACAAGACCAGTTATCTTATCAATATCCTGACTAGGTTAGTTATTGTATTGATAATTTTGAAAAAGAAAATTTTAGTCGTAAGGAAAACCTTACTGGTCATTAACCATTAACATGTGCTCAGTACCATATATGTGTCTGTAGAATGTCAGTTAATACTTGTGGTAAGTCTCTATGATATGTATTAGAGTTATCATACCTCCCCACTTCAGTCATGGAAAGGGATGCCTGGATGAGGTGAGCAAGCTGCCCAAGACTCTGGGATTGCAGCCCTCATACTCAGATTCCAGAATCCTTATTCCCAGGCTAGATTGCTTCCCAGTCAAGTATTCGACTGAAACATATAAAATTGACTTTTTAGGAGATTTAAAAAAAAAACCCTAATATGTAAGCCAATGTGGATTATCCATATTATGGTTTATTTCAGTTAAATCTCTTTTTAAAATGGAAAGTTTTTGACTACTGGCTTTATTGGTGTCATGGGACATCCTTTATTTATAGCACTTAACTCACTGAAAGCATTTCTCTGTTTGTCCACTGTAAGTGACAGCACCCAGTGATTATTTTCTTGCAGTGGTGACCATCCATCTATGGTTTTTTTTACCTACTTAGACAAATTATTGGCTTTGTTCACATCTATTTTTTATATTCATTTTTCATGGGATCAGTGGGAAACACGTTGGAGGTAAAATACTTAATCACTACAATAGGGAGAAAATGGTTTGAGCTTTGGCCACTACAGAAGTTCCAAACTGATCTAGAAAGAGTTCTGATGGAGGCAAGGTTTCAAAGCACAGCTTGATTGCTTTGTTTAAAGTGAACTTCCAGGGGCGCCTGGATGGCTCAGCCGGTTAAGCGTCTGCCTTCGGCTCAGGTCATGATCCTGGGGTCCTGCGAGACCCACATAGGGCTCCCTGCTGAGCAGGGAGCCTTCTTCTCCCTCTCCCTCTGCCTGCTGCTCCCCCTGCTTGTACTCTCTCGCTGTCTAATAAAAAAATAAAAAATCTTAAAAAAAAAGTGAACTTCAATTGAATTACTATGAAGCAATATAAAAATTAAAACGTAAATATAAAAACTAAAATAAAATTTAATTATTTTAAATTATCTAAGATTTGTTTTCACTTCAGGATTATCTATTGCCTGTTCCCACTTTGCACAATTCATAGTGTATAGTTATAATCCCCCCCCATTATCAATGAGATAACTGATATACATAAAACTTAGTGGGGTATGTTCAAGGGCTTTCTAGCTTATATTTAGTTAAGCCTTCTTCCTATATTAAACAAAAACTAGTTAAGGCAGTGTTCATTAATAAAAGTGGCAAAAATAATAATTTCTATTGAATTATTAAGTGCTATGTTCTGTGTTAAGTGCCTTATAAGCATTAATCATTATAATCCCCTTATTTTATAGAATAAATATCTCATAAGACAGATTAAGTAACTTGTCCCAAGTCTTAGTTTGAATTTTTCTCTTTTGTTAAAACTGTACATTTTTCAGTGCTAAAGTTGAACCTAAATAATTGCTAGCTAATGGGGAGAATGCCATGCATAGTTTTCATTTCCATTTCAACTGTAACCATTACTCATTAGGGTTATAGTATACTGTAACGTTTAATACTGGACGTAAGTTTCACATGCAGGAAACTTGCTCCAACAATACTTTTTTGCGTTGTAACATTTACAATCAAGCGATCAGAGTTCATTAAGCTAGTAAATGAATCCTCTTTGTGATACAAGTATAAGTGAGACTTTTAATTTATAGATTTGCCAATCATTCTTCCTTGTTGAGGGCTTTAATTTCCTTTTGGCTTATAGACTCAACCCATTTCCTTTCTGGAGTTATAATTTCAAGGGCTACACCTGCCTGAAGCTAGGTTAGAAAAAGTTTCTAGGCTATTGCAACATAACTTCTATGCTCATAGATGTTGTTTTCATTTTAGATAACTCAACTTCTGGGAGAAAACCCAATCTCATGGTGTTACTTTTTACATCACCCTTGTTTCACCTGCTATAAAAGAAGCTATTAGAAGAATAGCTGCTTCTTTAAAAGAGAAACAGCAAAATGCAAAGTGAAGAAGGTGTATGAGCCAAACATGCTTTCAAAAGCAAGGGTATGTTCAAGAATTGTGAATTGAGCTCATTATCCAGTTGGGCCCCTTCTGCTAATCATTCTAGGTACAGGAAGTGGTAAAAGTTTAAATAAGCCAGCTGATACTTAAGCATTTTACTCTTTTTGAAAGTTGCCTAAAAAGGAATCAATTGCTAATGTCTTAATTTATTTGAGTTTTATAGCATTATCCATCTCCAGGCCCTTCAACTGTGCTCTGAAGTTTCAATTCATGCCAGGTAATACTATATTTATAAATTCAAACTAATATTTTCCTTCATAATTCTCTTTGCAGATTCACAAACATTAGAATCACATCAAATATCCACACATGCAATTGAGAAGCAAAATAATACAAAGATGAGTATTCGTTTTAGAATTGCCGTTTCACCCACTTAATGCCATTCACATTCCTTATGGTGACTTGGGGACCTCATATGACATCAAAAGAAAAATGAGACTTTTGCCACTCTATTTTTTTACAGCTCAGAAAATTTAAAAGAACATAAAAGGAAACAGTCCAGGACCTCCTAGACCAAAGTGTGAATATTGTCAGCAAATTCATGGCTCTGATTAAAGAACTCACCAGGAGTCCAGCTATTATGTTCCATCTCGCCACAACTCCCAGAATTCACACTAAGTTAATATGGAATCAGGATTTGCAATTAACAGCAAAGTACTGTGTAATATTTTGGCTGCTTTTCACACAGGCTGGCCTTTTTCACCAGCTGCATTGTCATCTACTTTAAGGGCAAAACAAAACAAAATAAAATAAAATTTCCTCTTATGTTCCTCTTCACGATCAAATTAATTGCTATACCAGGTACAAATGAAAACATGCCAAAGAAACCTTTCTAAAGCAGCTCCGAGAATGAGATGTGCCACTGCTGGGGGGCTTAGCTCCCTCCCCAGCGACTCAGTGGCAAACAGGTACAGTCAAAGGTTAGCAGGGAGCGATGGCAGAAGCCACAAGTCAGTAAGCTCGGGGTGGGGGGTGGAAGTGGGGAAATAAATACTTTCAACTGCACTGAATAAAATCAAATTGCTATCCAGAAGGCAAGGGGGCAGGGAGCAGCTTCACAAGCAAAAATATAAACATAAAGGGTAGCTACCAAGAGAGTCATGTTTCTCAAAGACACACGCCTGTCAGCTTTCTCCTGTGGAAAGGGGTTAAAGCTTTTAAATGAACTGATGTGATAAATGCAAACTCAAAAGGACCAAAAAAAAAAAAAAAAATGAATGTAGAAACAATAAAAGTAAGTAGCAGGACCGAGGCTACCTCAAGTTCTCTCAGAATTCCCGACTGTCCACAGGTTTCCAGATCCTCCAGGGCTTGGGACCAGAAGTTCTCCTCTTGTTCAGCCTCCGAATTATCGGGAGCCCCTGTGAAACTGTCATCAAAAAGCACAGTCCGGGTTGAGAACTTGCCAGACATAATCCAGAATCTCTCTCTTTCCTCTCTCACACACCCAAAACATGGGAGATTCTTTTGGGATCTGGCTTTCTTCCAACTGCAACCTCCAAGTGAGGCTGCTTTCAGAAACGCAAAGTATCTCAAAGAACAGAGGGAAGGACCACGGTCTTACTAACGGAATTTGAGTTTTCATGGCTACTGTAGGTTGAACCGCATCAGCATGGCGTCATGGGGAAATATCTTTCAGCGGCTCTGCCTGGTGAAAGAGAAGTCAAACTTCCAAGAGAAAAATGGTTTCTCACTTATAAATATCAGTATAGATCATTTAAGGGCTATCAGTTTTTATGAATTTCCTTAAAATATTTTGGTAAGGAACAAAATGCTAAAATATATCTCAATTCAAACTATGGGATCCTTGATGTATCTTTTTTTTTAATGTAAATTAATATGAAGTAACCTTTTAAAGGAAAAGAGAGGACACTAGTCAGAGAGTGAGGACAGGGTTTACAGATACAGATCTTCCCATGTGCTACTATTGTTTTCATTAGGGGAAACTGAGCTCTTGCCTTGCTGTGGGGGTGATGCCATGCTCCTGCTGGGCAGGTACAGGTCTCTGAATCCTGCCAGGGGCTGGTGTGATGAGCGGTTCCTGTCATGCTCCCGATGCTAGCAATATGTGCCACCGGAAGTAGAGAGATTCAGATCTGGGCTAATGGCCGCAAAGCAGTTTGGACAGGCAGCAGTTGATGAAAACCTTACCCACTGACTGTGGACCGGTCCCAGTCTTCATTACTCAGCCCCACGTCTGGGTAAGTCTGGCTTCGTGGCTTAGTGACTGGGGACAGGCTGCCTCTCTGCTTCGAACCCCTCCACTCGTAAGTGTTGAAGTTGTAGCCTGAGGCCTGAAAGCCAGAGCCTGAAACAAAAATCAGGTGTTACCTTCTGTTTCTAAGAAGGACTGGAGAGGGTCTGTTTGGTAATTTGTCTTTTTCTGCGGTTTCCATTAGTTCACTCAAGGCAGCTGATGTTAACTGAATTTGGGATCAGAAAGGCCATCAAGATAATACTCAAGTCTTACAGGCAAAACACATTCACACGCATTATGTTAACTGATTCCAACGACAGCTCTGAGGTAAGACCTTTAGACCCAAGCAGGAGAGCCCACTGTGTTGGACCTGTTTTTTAAAATTTTTTATTGTTATGTTAATCACCATACATTACATCATTAGTTTTTGATTGGACCTGTTTTTATTAGGGCTCCTGCCCTGCTCTCTCTGGGCAAGAAATCTGCTGGGCCATGGGGAGGTGCCCACAAGACCTGTATCCAACCCTTTCTAGAGCAAATTCTAGAACGCTGAACTTCCTGCCCAGATACCCTGTGTCACCTACAGGATGCATGAGGGCTTCTTACCCAAGTCTGTCCTTTTGAGAGTGGAATTTGCCACCAGATGTGGGTTCCTGGCCCAAGCAGTGGCTAAGTGGCTGCTGGTTGCAGGGGTGTGGATGGAGCTTGGCTCTGCGGGGCTGGGGCCCACATATGTTAGGGAAGGGCCCGAGGACGACTTAATCCAATGAGAAATGACATTGTTAGCAAAAAGAGGGGTGGAATAAGAATGGTGACAGCAGGAACAATGGGGATCACAGAGTGGGTACTTATGTACCTGAAACTTCATTCAGTGCTTGATTTGCATCGCCTTCTTTATTCAGAACCCTCTTCGAAGGTAGTACTATTATTATTTGCATTTTACATATGAGCATACTAAAGGCTTAGAACAGTGGTTCAAGTATGTAGGGGTATCTGCAAACTCTCCCCGGGCCTTCCAGTCATAACCTTAGGAGACTCAGTTCTTAGACCCTCCGGGTCCTTAAGCACGTCTTCCCAAAATCAAACCCACCGAAAAGAACCAGGGGTCCAAGATCTGCTGGCTCTCCCTTCTCACTACCCCCTTCACAGTTGTTTTTCTGTCACTTTACAAATGAAAGACACATTTCTTATGCACCTCAAACCTTTTGAAGGAGCTTGGCTCTGGGACGCAAAAACCCCCAGTCGTCAAATCAAGGAATAATTTGGGAAAGCTCCGCTCCTGAGAGAAGGTCTCCTGGGAGCAGCGCCTTAATTCAACCAGGCACAGACTCCTGGTAAGGCTTCCCCCTCCCCCCCAACCTGCCTGTCTCTCTGCACCTCAGAGTTAGAATCCAAAACAATTGTCGGGGTGGGAGGTGGGCACATTATTATGTTTATCTGAATTACAAAATGAAAACTGACTTCCTTTCTGACAGGGAGTTAAGTACGATTAGCTTGACAGGTGAGGCAGGGTGGAATGGCTTTGGCAATTGGGTTATAAAATGGACATTTTCCATAAATTTGAGCTAAATCTGTGGTTCCTGATTTTGACAAAAATATGTTAAGGCATATTAATGACCAGCTAGAAATTATAGTCTTTGCAAGTATTTAAATTTGGGGAGAAAAAAATGAGATGACAACTTTAAATGTGTGATGGGGTATGCGGTTTTTCAAAATTCTTTTCCAAATTTAAGTAGGAGAGCAGGTGCTTGCAGGCAGGTCTGACTCCACAGCGTGTGCTATAATCATGATACATAGCTCCATCCACCATTTCGGGTTGTGACCCCACTGTGTGTGTGTGTGTCTGTATGTGTTTACATGTGTGTACCAGGTTGCAATATAATATGTATTTCTTACTGTGTTTAAAAACTATTAAGACAAAAACCAAACAAAAAACCTCCCCAAAACCAAAATAGTTAATACAGCAAACAGGCCTTGGGTGCCATTCTCACATACAATGAAACGAGCGTATCACATAAGATGACTGTCACCACGGCATCCCTGTTTCGTCTTACTACTCACTTTCCCTCCACTTGTTAGCACCTATAATGTCATCCTTACTAATAGAGTGCAGAGGAAGCAGGATGCCCAAAGGATAATGCTCTGATCAAAAGGACTTGATCTCAAGAATGCAGGGGAAAGCCCAGAGCTGCAAGAACCTTCTATGGACCTTCTGTTTTAGGATACCAAGCATTAGGAGTCTTTGGCGCAGAGAAAATATTTACAGTTTGATATCTCATTTTCCTCCTGGGTAATAACAGAAGTATGGCTAGCCATTTGGGAAGAAATTCTGTGCGATCGATTGTGCTGTTTTCTGTTGAAAGCACTGAATTAAGGAAATGCACGGGTCTCTTGCTGCAAATCACTGCATTTCTCCTGACTTTCTCTTACAGGCTATCCATTTTCTCCTTCCCACAGAGAGAAACCAACCCCCCAAATAAGTGAAGTCTCCCTTTTTGTGATACAAAAAGTGTTAGGGGAAGCCTCACTTGCCTTAACTAGCTTTCAGCTTGCGAAGAGCCAAATGCTAGGTATCCTTTCCTGATAAGCATTAACCTGTTTGAGCAATCAGTTCCCTGGCGAAATTCCAACATGTTTTAAACTGGACAGATTAACTTTCTGATTTTCCTTCCAACTGTTGTTTGCAAGTAGTTGTTGGTGATTGGGCAAGACTGTAACGATGGCCTTGAGCAGATGGGCAGCATTGCTCCTTACTCGGGAAACACCTCCCTCGAAAAGCGTGTCTGCCTACACCAGGGGTGCCTTGTGTTAGTAAGCAATATTAAATGATTATTGCATTACAACAAAGCAGGGCATGAAGAGGGGATAAGATCCAAATATCCTTGGGTTAGGTATAGGCTCAAAAGACCTGGATCCATGCTGTGCTGGCACAGGGACTGAGTAAGAAACATGGGTCCAAATCCCAGCTTTGCCACATCCTTGCTCTGTAGCCTCAGCCAATTCACCTCAGTGTAAGATATGGATAACCATACACATGTGCCTCACCAGCTTGACATGAGGACTGAGAATAACACACACAAACTCTCACACATAATGAGGTTTTAATAAATACAGATGCCCATCACTTTTATTATGTGCTAAGCCATTCAACTTCTCAAGATCTCAGTTTCCTTCTCTTTCATGCTGCCTGGAATGTAGGTGAAATAACTGGCACCCTGGCAACCACCCTGGATCATGTGGTAAGCCCAAAGATAGAAGCCAAGTGCTAGGCATAATAAAGAAGAAAAATTTAAGAGCATGGGTCTTCGAGGACACTGTAGAGTCATATGCCAGCTCTGAAATGCCTACTTTTTAAAAATGATTTAAGTCACTGTAATACTAGGGTATTCAGTTCTATTCAGTTAAATCAATCCAACTGATATGCTGGGTTACAGTTAGTTTTGTAGATCTGACTTCCCTCTCATTCAAATCCCAACATCTAGACTTGGGTTAGGAGTAGGGAGATAGCAACTGATTCTGGCTGCATGTCCAACCCAGCTTTCTAGCAAAACAAAACAAAACAAAACACAAAAATAGTTGATATTTTAATCCATAGCTGACTCCATTTCTACTTCTCCACTGATTTAGAATGGATAAAGGCGGGGATTGATGAACATATTAACATATTGATTAACCTACCTAGTGCTGTGCTTGGCGAGTAGTGAGAAGCTCAGGATGTGTAGAATAAAAGGTACTACAAGGAACTATCAGGAGATGAGATTGATGAGTGGTTGGGAACTAGATTACAAAGAACTCTGGTTTAAACTGAGTACCGTTATCCTAAAACAACAGAGAACCATCAGGAGAGTTTTTGTTTGTTTGTTTTTTTAAGGGAGGGGCAAGATTAGATTTAGTTTATTTTTTTAAAAGATCATTGATAGTAATATACTCAAAGCAAGGAGATGGTGAGGAAGTAAATATTTCAGGCCTGATGAAGGTTTTATAACAAAGGTGTGGTGTCTAAATGTGGTGTCTGGGAGGGCCTCCAAATGTAGGGTGACAATTGGCTGGAGGCAGATGGTGTGGGCAGTGAAAGGATTCACCTGAGGCAGAACAAAGGAGATAGAAGTTTATTGAATCCACTGCCAGAGAGCAGCGAGCAGGACAGGATGGGAGAGGCTGTTTGCCCTGAGGCAGAGGGTGGGGGCTGCTTTTAAAGGGGGAAGGTGTGGCGACCTATGGAATTCTCCCTTTTTTTGGTGACTGTGCCTGGCTATCTTAAGGTGGGTTGCCGGTTGGACCTGTCTGTATCCAGCCAGGGGGCGCTATGGGCCCTTTCTGCATTCTATTGCTCCAGCCTGTGTGCCTAAAAGTAGCCTCCACAACAGACAGCAATGAATGGAGAGACAGGAGATCTGTGAAGCTGGAGGTGGGAGAGGCTGGGTCCTAATGATACTGCGGGCCACCTGCCTCATCCAGGGTCTTTACTACAGTGGGAGAAAAATAACTAACTTGTTTAAACACCATCATTTGTATTTTCTTTCATATGTAAGTGAACTCAATCCCTAACTGATGTAGGTGGAGGATGATTGCATAATTTAAAATAGGGAATGTCTGATGGAAATTAAGTAAAGACAAGGGGCTTGCCATAGTTGAGAAGCTCAGAGCCCTGAGGAATATCCCTTTACACAGGGAATCAAACTTAAAAGCCATAGGAGGAATGGAATGAGTGAGGCAGCCCACATGTAAGAAAAAACCAACTGCCAGAGATATAATTATATAATTGTTTTTACTGAATGATGGTGTGAGCACATTAAATTAAATTAAAATGCGGGGATGATATCGGAAGCTAGGTTTTAAATTCAAAATTGATAAAAGAACACATTGAAAGATAGATGTAATTTTAAAAAATGTATTTCCTAAGTAATTACCCTTTATATTTAGAATTGGAAATCTTCCTTTCTTTTTTCCTCCCTCTTTCTTTTCTTCTTTCTTTCCTTCTTTCAATCTAGGTTTCAATATCTGTTTTTATCCTTTGTATCATAATGTGAGGTGTGTTATGGACTGAATTATATCTGCACCTAAGTTCATATGTCGATGCCTTAGCCATCAATGTGACTGTATTTAAAGAA